GCATTCTCACAAATATTGCCAAACCATTGACCTCTCATACATTAAGTGCAGCTTGAAAGCCAAAGAAGTGGAGAAACAAAACAAAATTCATGAGGCCAAATAGTGCCTTTTATTTTGACAGTAGTCTGTAGTTTCATGGTTTCGTATTAAGTGTTTCTCAAAAGCACAACCCATTCTCACAAATAGTGCCCTTATCATTCCCATAAACAGTGCCTTATACCCTGGCAGTCTGAGAGATAGTGTTTCTCAAAAGCACAACCCGTTCTCACAAATAGTGCCCACCCATTAACCAATTCTTAGTGCAGTGCCACTGCCACCACTTAAACACCAAACTCATTCAAATCAGTCTCACAAATAGTGCATCTTGTCTTAGTTAGAAGCGCCCAACCCAAACTAATGGCCAGGACCCGACTGGGCTAGGACCGGACCATCCAAATGATGCCCAATACCCAACTATTGTTAGGGTTTTGCTAATAGCGCTAAAAGGTTTCCTCATTCATGCAAATAGCACCTCCTTACAAATACCCTTTGATATCACCAGCACAAGCGACGACAAGCACCAGTTCAAACATTCCCACAAATGGTGCGAACCCATTCTCACAAATAGTGCCCTTAAAAGCAAATTCATTCTCACAAATAGTGCCCTTTAAAGCCAATTCATTCTCACAAATAGTGCCCTTAAAAGCCAACTCATTCCCACAAATAGTGCCAGACCATTAACCTCATTGGGGGGCATTGGGGGGTAGTTCATTTCTCGAATATGTATTTTCCATATCAACAGCCCCCCATTCAGGAGCCTAGATCCTCTCCATCCTACGGTCCTACGGATTCGAAGTATTATGGATTTTGAGTCAAATTATGAGGCTGGGTAAGGATTGCGGACAACAGCGGATTAAGAATAGTTCGGATTACATGTTTTTTTTTTCGGATTAGCAGGATTACGGATTAGTATTGTCGGCACGCACATTGTGATGAGCACAGAATAATATGCGTTATGTATGTCCAGAGTCCATATTCATAAGTTTGTCACAGCGCAATGGCAATCATCGCTCATTGTGCACCCACCCAATGGCTATGTTTGCCATATTCCAGAGCTCATACTACACCTTTAATGTCAAGGCCGAGTCAAGGCTGTCAAAGTTCAGGTTCAGAGACTATTTTTTGTGTTAGGCTAATTTCATAGGACGTCAAGTAAGTGGACGCCAAGAAGAACCACGATGAGAGCAATGTGGCCAAGCTCCAGTACAGTGGGATAACGGAAGGAGGAAGGAGGTCATCGCTGGCCTGTGCCTGTGACTGTGACTTTTCCTTTTCCCGTTCACCGTTCAACTGACAAACAAACAAGACTTTCCCATCCCTCCCATGAATTTTGTGTGAATCATTGTTAATTATCGGTGATGTCGGATAGAGTGGCCTCAACCGTCCCAAGTACCTCAGCCTCAGCCACTTCAGGAGACAAAGGTTGACCATGAAGAAGCAACGTTGCAGGAGTGATGAATGATGTCGTATAAAACAATTTTAAATACAACACGTAACACAGTTAGGCAGTTCTTCTGCACTGTTATCCGAAACACACATGTCCCAAAACCCACTCCCCAAACGAACAGCAGGTTCCTTTCTGCAACCTGGCCTAGCCTAGTACTTATAGTGCAACTCAAGATAGGGTCACTACTTCCAACTTCCATCCATCCAGCTACAATCGCTTAACGTCAAGAGCCATCGGCCGCAGGAGTGGGAGAAGAAAACGGAGATGGAGTTGAACAACATGACGGTTCGCGCTGGTGCTTCTGGTGGAGAATGTCTGAGGGACGTGTGGATGAGACTCAAGTGTGTGCAGGATGATGGTGTCACCACCTCACCGCCTCAAACGAAGGCTTTACTGGTGAAAGGCATCATGGTTGTGAAACGGCTCCTGAGGAAAAACACCTCATTGGATGACCACTTCCCTGCTAAGAAGCGTCGCGTTGCCGGCAAGTAGAGCTATTACCTTGTGTGGGGCGCTATTGGTTCGTGATGAAGTTTGTTTACGGCTCACAAGTTCACAAGTTCACAATCCACAATGTTCAGGAACAATCTATGGGCCAATGGGGTTGATCCAATCCAGCCTGAATGGATTGAATAGGGGAAGACCTTGCCATTACTGCTAGTGCAAGGCATTTTGTGGAACACCGGTGGAAAACCACTGCTCGGCTAAAGAGAGCCCGTGTCCACTAGTGACTGTGCTCGTGGACCGTGAAGCTTTTGGAAAAGAGAGTTATATGAGGTCTTCTGGGAAGAGACTGGGCATGGATTGCCCAAAAAGGACTTCTTCTCAACCATTTTTGGATTTAAATCTTTAAACATAGTGACGAGTTCTTCCAATATGCGCTTTTGCGCACGCTTGAGGACTTGGATTACAATTGTACTGAGTGGATTGAAAGGGCTAGTTTACAAAGAGCATCTTTCTGGGTACATTGCCTTCTGGGGGAAGGTTGAGTCATGTGGCCTTATCACTAGTTTTCATGTGTTGCAAAACTCTAAGCTACTTTTCATCGTGGTTGAACGTCCTTTTGGTGCTGGTATTGTCTTTCAGGAACTTTATTTCCCAAAATGCCTAGCAAAATACATTGGTACACATCTTTTGGCTTGGAAACACCTTTGTTTCCTGCGAACTACCCTGTTCACGAAAAAAGCCACTCATCCGTTTATAGGACATCCTCCAGCTTTTGCCGCTTTTTTACGGATGGCCCGCTAGAAACCCAGGTCAAGACCCCTATGCTGGCGCCCCGCACGGGCGGCTAGCAGGAGGGCTCACATTGGTGATGTGCAGCCGACTCCTCCGCAGTCGAAGTCCATCGGGTCGAAGAAAGTCCATCGGGTCGAAGAACGTCCATCAGGTCGAAGACCACGTAGCAGAGTTTGACAGTTGGCCCATTTCTATCAAATGTCTATCAAAAGCCTCATTATTGGGCGGCTTGTGACAGTGTCAAACGGTCAAAACAGTGACAACAGCTTCTATCAAAACAGTCAAACTGTCGAAACAGCAGTGATTACCACAGTTTGGGCTGCCTGTTTGGGCAGTATTTTGGCTGTCGAGTGTGATTTATTTTTCAGGGGAGGCAGGAGCGTTTTAAGACAATCCCATGACCGATGCGGCTTTCTCCCAATCGGCCACAAGGTCAGCTGAATAACATCCTTCCATAGCTTTCAGGAGGTGGCAACAAGCGAGCCAACCAGCGCAAATACGTTGAACCTTGTCAGACTATTGGTCGGGTACCAATGGTCAAAACCTAAGGTGCAATCATTTCCACACCCAAGGTGCAGTCTATCCCAGACAGTCAAGACAACATCTTCAGCTGCTTTACAATTTTCAATGTCCCAAGAAATTGAGAGCTGAATGTTGTCCAAGTGAACAAATGATGCTTCTCACACCTGGGGTCAGGAATTGGCTCAAAACCGTATCATGGTACAACAAAATGAAGGGCTACTGTAACACTTCCATGTTCAAATCCTCTGCCAGTTTAAGGTGTATATGGGACCAGGATTGCGTGTGATCACATGCGAGGCTGGACCACTTCAATGCCATGCAAATCCCATCAAATCCCCTTCTCGAGGTGGTATGAGAGGATGTTCGACGTTTCCGTAAATCCGGTTGTAAACGACAAAGTTCAACATGGTCAGAGTCAGGTCAGATCTATTCATTGGCGACCTTCAAAGACCTCCTGTCTTGGCCCCTAACACCCCACAGGTCGTCTTTTTATGTTTTTGTCCTATTCGTGAGTGGGCAACATAGAAACATGATGAAACATGATTGGGACATAATGCCTTGCCTTTTGTTTTCGGATTCGGCCCTCTGTCTATTCCTGATGAACTCTCCACTTTCAGCCCTCTGCCACACCTATCATGAACAAGACTCTGGTCATAGCATCTGAACAACCACATGACATGGTTGTTTGGGGTTTCAGGAATGAGGATGTGGGAGGGAAGGTGCGTCTTTGGCGGGTGTGCTCAACTGATCCGCGCCCGCCTAAACTGATCCGCCTTCCCTGTCTTCACCTGCAAAAGGTTCTGTTCAACCAAGCTTTGAATGTGAGCTTGTTCTCACACAGTTTCATGGCCCACGCAAGCCCCCCTGATAGAAACAATCAGGCGGAAAACACAGAAGTCATTGTAAATGATGGGGCCTTCAGTATTCACAACACACAGCTTGAAAAGCCCCAGTTTATATGCAATCACAAGCACAATGTTACAAGAGGCTTGCAAGAATGGATTCATTGCCTGAATTGCAACGGACATGAAACGCTGGGATATTCAGTGTTTCGTCAAAGGCAACAAGTACAAAGTTGGCATTCACGGTCCAATAACCCTACGTCATCACACCCCTCACAACAGGCAAGCAAAGCCTGATGCTGCACTCATACAGTCTCTCCTGTCTCTCCCCCCTAAAGGCAAAAGAATGGTGCACAGACTGCGACTAAGCTACGGCATGTTTGTTGCAGAACGAACAAGGGGTGTCTCGTCGGTTCACTATGAATGGAACACAATATATATATATATATATACGGAATGAACATGAATGAACAGAACAAAACAGGATGTGCACTCCTCATCATGAATCCACATTCAAAGAAGAGGAATCGTCGGGGCCTTCTGCTCGACACGTCGATCAAGCAAGAGTTCGCAGCCCTGTGCGCGGCGTTTTGGCGGCAGTTATTCTCAAAGGTATCAAGCATGACATCACGATCTGATTTCGTAACATTTCGTAACATCATCAGCCTCCATCCCAAATGTCCATAAACTTCACACGAACCTAGAGAAGATGGACACCTGAAATAACTCATACACGCTAAAATGTAAATTGCTATATGTGGAGGAACTCTGGCACCATTTGGAACATCAGACTCCCCCAGAAAATCCTGGAAAATGGCGGTTGACACGTTCGTCCCCCAGGTTTTGGGTTTTGGGAAACCAACCGACCAAAAAGGTTATTAAAGGTTATTCGACTTTTCCGGGTAGGACATGGAGCCCGAAGGTCAGCAAATGTCTTCCTGCCAATCCCTCGAACCAAACAGGCTTCAACTCTGCCGCTCTGCATCGCTCCGCGCCTTGGTGAGGGCCGCATCGACGCCTTCCTTCTTGGCACAGGAGGTCTCGAAGAAGTGCACCTGACGGAGATTCCGTGGTCCGCCGGAAGCGACTCCTGCCGGGCACTGGGGACTCAACACTGAGCGTGGTCGGAGAACAGCTCCGGAAGTGGGTGAACGGCTCCAGGACCGATGGGCTATGAGGGATCCAAGCTAATGCGGATGGGCGCCATACTCTAATCTCAGAGGTATGGCAGGGCGTACCAATTTCGGGTTGGAGTGCCAATCTGTGGTGCTTCTCTTTAACTTGCTAATGCCCACTCGCATGTGGCTGATTGTGGGACGGAGTCCGCACTGAAACCCAGCCACAACGGCCTGGGCGATCAGGCATGGGATGATTTCTCGGATGTGGGGTGTGTGGAGTCCGAGTGAAATTCGTGTGATTGTGCATCGGCTTTGCCCTTAAAAATACGTCCACATCCAACGGAAAACAGCTTAATATTCAATCTGAAGGATGTTTACTATGCCATTTTGTCCAACAAACAAGTTATAGCAACCAACACAATAGACACTTTAATTCACCCTCTCTTCATCTTCAAGCACACGCGACGTCGCGTCTCTGCCCTTTTCGCCCTTCCGACACTCCGCGGCGCCTGACCGCCAGCATCCACCTGACCGCCAGCATCGTGGTCCATGCGTCCGGTCATGAGTCGTTCAAGGAGTCGTCTACGATCCTTTTCCAAAGAACCAGGCCATTGGTTTCCAGTGTTCTATGTGAATTTGTTGGAGGAGGTCAAGGACATACTTTATGTCATTGCACTAGTTATATATAATAGTTATAATGTATGACAACTTTAAAGTAGTTTGCTTTGCCGCATGGAGTTGGCTGTGTTACACTCAAGCCAAATACCATGCACAGCATCCAACCGCCGAGTCCCGTCACGGGCCAGCCGTCATAAGCCGCCTCAGCCATCGAGTCCAACAATTGCTTCTCCTGAGAGAATGGATTGACTGCAACCTAGTGTGGAAACCAGGTTGAAAGGTGATCTGATTGAAAACACACATCATTGCGTTCGTGTTCCTTTGCTCTTAAGATTGTCTGGTTGTGAGGGATGTTTTTATAGCTTTGGCACCACATGAGCGACCCCCTGAGTTTTCAATAACTCCCCAGCGACCAGGTCGGCTCTTTGGATCACCTGAAGCAACTTACGTTGCTTTGATGTTTGCGGCAGTGGCATGTCAGAACAGCACTTTTGATTCCACGGAGCTTTGGCCTGACAAACTGAGGTTGACAGCGTGCTGCTTTTGATTGTTGGGAAACATGTGCCAAGTGGCTATGCCATAGCAAGTTAAAGTTGTGCGATACGGAGAGCCAGCAAAAAAACATGTGTTGAAATGCGGAACCAGGTTTTCCAAGGTTGGCTTGTTTGATACCTTACTTAGGCCAAGCGGCTACGCCTGAATCTGGAACCCACCAAGCCTCCATTCCCTCTAGTCAAGACGCCCAGATTGCATTGTCCCAGAAACAATGCAAGGGGGTGTTGCTATATAAACGTAAGCAAATCCAAAGAAATCGAAGAACTCTTGATGTTGAAATAAGCTTCTTTAACAGCTTCTCAGTCAAGTGCGACTGACCCACCAGCAAGAAGTCCTTTACGTTTTCACCGCCCCCCCTGCGGTAGCTCCTCTGGAGAGAGCTCCGAGAGCTTTCTGAGGTCGGTCCTCAGGATGGGGTGGTGGATGCCGTGGAGGTTGGCCCTCTCCTCTCCAGTTCCCAACACATTCCAGGTCAAAACCGTCGAAGAAAAGCCGCATTCTGGGTCTTCAGTGGTCTTCCCACCACCCCAAGCATCCTGCTAAGTTTGGTGTTCCTAGTTTTCACCTGCCGAGCTAGGCCTGGGCAATTGCCTACCTAAAGAACTTCACCGCACCTGGTTTGTAGCACTGGTTCCCTTCTTAAACAGCACGCGGGTTGTATTTTTGGCTCCAACCAGGGCTGAGGAATGAAGCAGCAGTCTTTGAGCAGTACGTGCACAAGTCTGCGAGCTGAAACATCATGGAATCATAATGAATCATAGATAGCCTGTGGGGCAAAACTTATATAGACCTAGAAAAAAGAAACACCTTCCACTGGGACTGGAATCTGGATCCGCTGCGACTGAAAACTCAAGTAAAGCAGGAGGAAAGTAACCTCTAGCAGCTAGCATCCCCTGCATCAAATAAGAGTTCGATCCCTAACAACAGTGACATGTTTGGTCAAACGAGGGTGTTGAACACAATGACACAATGGAGCACCCCTGTCAGCTCTGGCTGTGTTGAAAGAATCTGGGGTCTTGCGAGGCATTTAACTGTACACTTTCTGACTAGCAAGTGGTTAAGAAACTCTTTATAGCTCCTTGGTTCCCTGCTTACAGAGACACAGCCCCACATGGATGCTTGGAGCTCCTTGCTCCATCCGAACCAGTCGGTGTTAGGAGATGCTGCGAGTTGGGGGGTGTCTAACTGACATCCATCATCATCTACTTCTGAGGATGTGATGTTAGTTAGAAGTATTTGGAGGATGATCCGTCTGGATGAAGGATGATGTAGGATGATCTCTCTGGACTTGCACTAGGGTCACTAGGCCTCTACTACTTCAGCTCGTGACGAGACGAACGGGAGTCGACTGGTCGCGAGCGACGCGAGGCTTGAGGCTGGCGCTTGTTGAGGATGATCAGCAGCGGACGGTTGCGGAAGAGTGGCTTGATGGAATGGTAAAGGGCCACCTGTCGCAGGCACCCAGGTCGCCCACGAGTTGCCCCGAACAAACGGCCATGGGGCCATGGGGTGTTTTCTTGCAGCGTCAGAGTGGCGTCAAGTCGGGCGCGCGATTGAACAGAAAGATCGGCAAACAAATTGGTGGGTGTCCTGGGTCAAGTAAAAGACCACCAAACTGTGCGGGGTTGGTGATGAGCAGCCTGCCGTCACATTGCTGGGTGACTGAATTTGAGCCCAATTAATGGCAACAATAATGAAGTCCACTGCAGCACAAACGCCATCTGACATCATCTTCACTCAAAGGAATATCACTGCACACATCTGCCCACTGGCTAAGGTTGCACAAAAGAAGTGGCCGAAAACGCACACTCGCCTGGAACCTGCACCTATAGCGAGGGCAGTGTCTTGTTTCTTAATTAAACATGAAATCCATATAGCCTTTAGCCTGGAAAATCACCAAAACCGAGCCAATTCGGAAACACCCAGCAACTGGCCGGGCAAATGGGAAATTCCGCCCTCCGCCGCCGCTTCGGGCCACACATCGGCCTGGGTGGGCAAGCTGAATCCACAGTGCTCCGAGATGTCCACGAAGAAGAGCACGGCCTTTGCGGCGCAGGTTGTGGTGCGAGGTGCTGTTCGGCGCCACAGCACCCGGTGAACAGCCACAGGTACTTTTTGATTGCTGGGCAAGCAAATGAGGTATTCCACATACACCAGAAAAGCAAGTATCCGATATGGGTCTGTGATGGTGTTTGCATGTCAAAACAGCAAACAGTAACACCTCCCAATATTGACCGGGAACAAAGTTTACACTGCCAGACCTCCCACGCTGAGACTCCAAGTGAGACACTCCAAGGGGCCCCTCCCAGACCTCCCGGCACATGAGGCCCCCGCCGCAGGCAAATGCGCGAGCGCCGTGATGGCCGTCATCTCGATGCTGTTGCGGTCCTGGCCGACGCTGTTGTCGACCGTCGTCCGGCCAAAAGGGACCGCGAGGGACCCGCGGGACGGGAGCGGCGGGTCGGACACCTGAAAATCTGAAACTGGCTGTTGAGCTTTGGAGGTGGCTGACAGCTGGGGAGACTTGAGTGTCCCATGTCCTTCTGCAGTATGCATGCTAGAGAACTGTATTATAGATGCGTTGTATGTGACATCGGCCCAATTCAATAATGCATCAATAATACGTTGTTCCAAGATGTGGTCAAGCGCAAACTGAAATCACATGAACATGATGAACATGCCTTCGGCAAAACGCTTGGAAATCCTTCCTGGTTTTAACTCGTGACTCATTGGACATCGTGACTGATTGGCTTTCTTGACCTACCACCCTCGCATCACCGGACTCGACCTAGTTTGAGTGATGCAAGTGGTGATGTCCGACTAGTTTCAATCTGAACCTTTTTTCAGTTAGTCACCGAAAGCGTACAATTGTACAAACTCAATCAAAAAATACTTCTGTGCAGCAGCAGCTCCTTTGTTTTGTAAACCATATGTAAACATGTTTTGCCACCTACGTTATCAGCTTGGATTGAACTTGAAAGACTTGGGATGCAGCATGCTAGACGGCTAGACTCCAGAATCGACGACGGTATGACCGGACGCACCACGTGACGGTACTCCTCCAAAGGATGATCCAGGATACCTGGAGTGTCAATGACCTGATGGGCATCACGGGCCACTGGCCAGGTCGATGTGGACAGGTCGATTGGTTGACCCTTTTGGGCTCTGAACGGTTGATGGATTGATCCAAGACCATGAAGTGATGGCCTGTGATGGCCTTTTTCTGTATCTGATGTGTAGCGATATGACAGCCCAAATCGACCCCAAAAATGGGCTCTTCTCCAAATTGTCTCAGGAAGTCAGGATTTGTTCCAAGGTCAAGACATGCCTGTCGCCTTGCTGTGTGTTGAGCCGCTATAATTTTTGTTTTAGAATGGTCTAGAGGAAACCGAGTCGGCAGTGCCCAACAACCTGCATAGGCCTGAAAAAAACAACAATCATCAGCAGCATGATAGTTCGTCTTCACTCCAACAATCCTCTTTTGATCTTCAACATGCAACAATATTCCGGGCACATTTGGATGAAGAACTTGGGAACTCGTAGCGAGTTCAACTCCATAGGTGTCGGCGTCTTCCCATCAGAGAAGCTGGTGAAAGAGAGCACTCAGCACATGTCGCCGTGTCTAAACATGTCGCCAGATCTGTGACGTTCCATTTCGGTCACGACCAAAAGCACGGCTTCCCCAGGTCTTTTAACGACTCGTCTTCATGACTCGTGGCATCCTTTTGACCGGTTGTTTTCTGGTGCAAACTCGGTTTTCTGAGTGGCAACCTGGGAGAATGTGATACCCGGAGTGAACCTGGGAGAACGTGATGTGGCAACTCAATGGGTTTGGCATGACCCAATGCAATTTCAAACGGAGAGGACACATCCCCCCCAACAAAAACTTGTCAATTTCAGAGATTTGATCGTTGAGCTAAAGATATACATATATATATATATTCTATATATGCTGAAACGTGTGGCATTCCTGTCGACTAAGGTACCGACCGCAGAT